TTTTCACCATCCAGCGATATTCCCCCAGATAAGTTTCTGCCACCATTTCTGAATGACCACATAGTCATGATTAATAGCTTTCTGTAATTTGCATTTTACGATTCTTTTTCTGAGATGATATCAATTTCTTATGCAAAACAGTTCCTGTACTCATGGCTGCGGGGCACGGTGGCTCAAGCCTGTAATCCCAGCACTTAGGGAGACAGAGGTGAGGGAATGGCCTGAGCCCAGGGTTTCGAGGCCAGCCTGGGCAATTGATGAGACCTCGTTTCTGCAATAAATTAAAAAATTAGCCAGGCGTGTTGGTGCACACCTGTGATTCCAGCTGCTTGGGAGGCTGAGGCGGAAGGATCGCTGGAGCCCAGCATGTTGAGGCTGCGGTGGCCAGGAGCGTGCCACTACACTGCGGCCTGGGAGGTAAAGTGAGACTCGACTAAAAAAGAAGAAAAAGACAATGGTTAGAGTGTTCAGAGCTGGAGCATATACGCCAAGGGTACTCTTAATTCCAAAATATGGGGCGATCTCATCGCTGCGGCGGTCCCTGCGGAGGTTTGGCCTCCTCCGGAAGCCAAGAGGCGACAACCTCACCCTCCCCGCTGTGGCTCTGTGGTGACTACATTACCCAGCACGGCCTGCTCCGGCGACTGCTACAAACCAGCCAATGAGGGCTCAGAAAAGTGTCGTCTGCGGAAGCTTGCGTAAGCCGCGGCGGGACTTCCGGTCCTCTCCTCTTGGCGCCTGTTTTCGCTTCTCGCCGGTCTGTCCCGTTCCCGGTGGCATCCGCAGCGCCGGTCCGGGCCGTGGTGACTGGACCGAGAAGGCGCGGCAGGAGTCGTAGCTCCCGCTCCCAGAGGCGAGTCAGAGGCTCGGCCGCGCGACCTGCGGTGACCCGGTTAGGCCCGGGGTTGGGGCAGCCGCTCCCGGCCGCGGTCCGCCCACGGAGTCCGATGGCGGCGGCCGCGCCGGGGGACCGGGCCCAGGTCAGTGCTGCATCCTCGGGCCCCCACTCGTCTTCCCCCTCCAAGCGCTGAAGCCCCGGTGACGGGCGCCACTCACGTCCCTGCAGTCCAGGGCCGGGTGTCCACACGGGGAGGCTCTGGCGAGCGGGGCCCCTGCTTCCGACACCGCGTGCTGGAGTGTAAAAACGCGACCATTGAGGGACCGCTGATTGCAGGCGCAGGAGTTAAACGGACTTTTGAAGTTGCCTGGCGCCAGGGCCAGCCAGGGGACTGCGGGGAGGCCTGAGCCCACGGAACACCGCCGTGGACGCAGTCTTTCCACGGGACCTGTGGCTATACAAGGGCTCCAAGGAAGGGGAGGGTCTCCCAGTCCCTCATTGGCCTTGACTCCCACCCTCTGGATCGTGGTGCCTTGGGACTCTTTTTTTTGAGTTGGAGTCTCACTTTGTCGCCCAGACTGGAGTGCAGTGGCCGCTCCCGGCCACCGCAGCCTCGAACTGCTGGGCTCCGGCGATCCTTCCGCCTCATCCTTCCGAGTAGCCGGAATTACAGGCATGCGCTACCACGCCCGGCTGAATTTTTGATTTATTGTAGAGATGAGGTCTCGCTGCCCAGGTGGGTCTCGCTCAGGCAATCCACTCACCTCGGCCTCCCAAAGGCGCGGGATTACAGGCTGAGTCACCGAGCCCGGCTTGGACTCTTTTTTTTTTTTTTAAGTGAATGTTTATGTTTCATTTTATTATCTGATCTAAACAAATGTAAAAGAAATAGCCCAAACAACATTCTTGGTTTTTTATATCATGAATAGTTACCATACAATTGAAGACTCTTATCGTTCAATGTAATCATAAAATATAGCTTCTCTTTTGTTGTGGCATAAACTTGAAAATTAATTATTTTCCCCAATAAATTAGTCATTTAAAGTTCTTCGGGGCACATACCTGTAGTTCCAGCTACGTGGAAGGCTGAAGCTAAAGGATCGCCTGAGCCCAGCAAATGGAGGCTGCGGTGGCCATGAGTGTGCCACTGCACTTCAGCTGAGTGACAGAGTGAGATTAAGACTCAAAAAAAGAAAAAAGAAAAGAAAGAAAAAACTGCCAACAGATAACAATATAGAGAAGGCATAAACTACCAATATCAGAAATGAAAGAGAAAGTGTAAAAGAGTCTGCAATTATTAAGAGGGAATCAGGGAATATGACAAATAATTTTATGCCAGTAATATGATACCTAAGATGAAATGAGAAAACTCTTTGAAAAATACAATTTACTAAAGCTGTCTTAGAATAAAGTGGGAAAAAGAAAGAAAGAAAGAGAGAGAGAGAAAGAGAAAGAGAGAAAGAAAGAAAGAAAGAAAGCTAGCTCTTCGCCCTCACTGCCTCGCCAGCGGCCCTTGAGACCACCAGCGTGAATGTGAGTGAGTGGGGCGTTGGGACAGGGACGCGGTGGATCGGCGTCCGGGGAACCGGACGGGGTCGCCAAGACAGAATGCCCACTTCCTAGGCTCAGACGCCCCCCCCCACGCTTTGTGACCGCAGAAGGGGCTCGAGAGCCCCCGGCCTCCCCCCAGCCGCTAGGTCCCGCTGTGGGGGCCAGGGGGCGGGGGAGTCGCTGAGACACGCTGCCTCGCCAGCTCAATACTAGGAGCCAGGTTCACCTTCCCTGGGACCTGGGGGGACACTCCAGGGCTGCTCCTGGCACCCACGACCGGCTGACCCCGGTGACTCCAGCCCTAACTCGGGTCGTCTGCTAAGTCTTCGTTCTGGGGGACCCCGCTGCAGGCACGAGTGAGCCCACCAAGTCCGGGCCGCCACCCCCAACGGCGATCCCACAGAAGGTGCAGCCGCCCGGCCGGTACCCGCCCCGCAAAGCTGCAGGCTGGAGTCTGGCAAGTCTGGGCTCACCCGGCACAGAGGCTCATTTGGGTGAGCCTGCTGCTTTCCGCGTTGGGGACCAGCCAGGAATGACCACACGACCCTCCCGAGGAGTCCCTCACTGCGGGCTCTCAGATCAAGTCTGTGGCTTGCTCTGTGCCCTCAGTTGCCCAAACGCAAACCCCAGGCGACTGGACCTTGGGCAGAGGTTTCAGCCTGGCCCTTCCAGTCGGCCTGTCCTGGGACTCTTTTTTTTTTTTTTGGAGTTGGAGTCTCACTCTGTCGCCCAGACTGGAGTGCAGTGGCCGCTCCCGTAGCTGGAACTAAAGGCGCGTGCTACCACACCCGACTAATTTTTGATTTATTGTAGAGATGAGGTCTTTCCAGGTTGCCCAGGCGGGTCTCAAACCCACGGGCTCAGGCAATCCACTCACCTCAGCCTCCCAAGGCGTGGGATTACAGGCTGAGCCACGGAGCCCGGCTTGTCCTGGGACTCTTAAGACACATTTGGAACTGGGGACCCTGGAGACCCCTCAGACCCAGGGTCCTAAATCCATGTCAGCCTTTACATAAAGGTGTTCCCATCCCTGACACTCAGTATAAACAGGTGTGGTTTGTTGTCCCGGAAAGGCACAACTTGTGCGAATGCTTAGAGGCACCACCGTGCTGGGAGTGTTTATGAAACTGCAGGCCTCCTTGTCTTCTGGTGGGAACAGAGATTGGGCTGTAGAAGTCAGGACTTGGATTGCCTGAGCCCGCGGGTTCGAGACCCGCCTGGGCAACTTGGCGAGACCTCATTTCTCTTTTTTT